AACCGTCGTCGGCAGCCACCGGCCCTCCCACAGGATGGTCCAGCAAATGAACCAAAGGCGTACATCGCACTGTCCACAGGGAGACGCGCTTGTGGAAGCATTTTCTTCTTTTTTTAATGAGAAATTACAAAACTTTCGACCTTCTAGAGGTAATGCAAACTAGTTAGGGGGACGGAATGAGGTGGATCACCTGGAATCATTCAAATGGTTGAGGAACGTCCATTCGGTATGCTTGACCCCCCTAGGGGTTGCTGCAGTCAATAAGGAAGGTCAGAATATTAGGATGATTCCCCTTGTATGCTTCCCACAAACCTATATTATTTTTGTGCCCGTGGGGTCAACGGCGACAGGCCGCTTTAAGCCACCGTTTCACTATTTCCTGAATTTCTCATTTTTAAGGTTCAACAGGCAAGTCTCCTCTCTAAGTCGTTGACCCTCTACTTACACCTGCACTGATTCTGGTGCAGATATTATCGCAGAGCATGCAAGCCGTGCAATGCCACTTTGTGAAGCGTGGTGCGGTGAGACGCTGCACAATTCAACACAGCCTCTCATGTTGAATTGTGCAGCGTATCACCGCACCACGCTTCGCAAAGTGGCATTGCACGGCAACTGCTACAGCTGGGAACTGCATTCTAGAGACGTACGTAGTGAACTGGTTATTCACTGCGGCGCAGACGATAGTTGCCTTAGTGGAAAAGTAGACTGCAACTGAGACATCTGAACCAACGGTGGAATCAAACATGAAGGTTGCTGAATTTGTGGGTTCGAGAGCTCCTGTTATGCCTGCGGGTTGAAACAATATTTTCATCTAACTTTTCCGTGCAATCAGTTTGCTATTTCCCCTGTAGCTACACGCTTGCGTGCATGTATTAATGTATGTGAACAGCTGACCGCGGAGCAGCATCGCTTGTTTTCGAATGGCCTCATGAAGTGTCATGGACTGCGAAGTGACGTTGTCCCACTGCACATTTATGCATTTTTATCAAGGAGTTCCTCATGCAATGTATTATCTTACTTCAGAAGTAGGGAAGCAATGCATGATCCTGCGGCGCATGTCTCCATGACGCCTGGAAGGAAGAGCCTCGATATTATCCGAGGATTGTCGTGAGCAGCAGTCGGGTCAAACTTTAGATGAGCATCCCCGAAAAGCAGCTGGCCTTCGCACCAGTATCGATGCGCTTGGTTACGCTTGCAAGTGGGGGTGTGTTGCAGCACCTAGTTGGAGCAAGTTGCACTGCAGAGCATGGCAGCCCGCCTCCTCCGCACACCTGTCCCACGCTCTCAGACCGCTCTGCGCATTACCCTACTTTAGAAAGATGGTAAAAGTACAGGATCCTTCGGCACATGAGTTCATGATGGCCTTAAGGTAGGGTCTCGATACTATCCGAGGACGGTCGTAATCTTCACTAGGGTCACACTGAAGATTCGTACTACCGAAGAGCAGCTGGCCTCCCCATCAGTCCCTAGA